TACGTCATAGCGTAATGGTTGCAGATCATTACGCGAGTGGTCGATCCTCACTAGGTACCGCTTATTTGTGTACTTGTGCCAAACAAGTTTATGACTAATAAATCATACCTTCAAAGTGAGAATGTAGACAGAAATAAATGGAAAAAATATGATACCGGATTAGAGTAGAAAGAAAGGAAAATAAAAGAGAAAGAAAAAGCTTATGTAATTATAAAGAGAAAAAGAGAATTATCATAAAAGTGATATATATATATATATATATATATATATATATATATATATATATATATATATATATATATATATATATATATATTATAAAAGTGAGAGAGAAGAAATGATAATTCGAGAAAGAAGAGGGGAAAGACAAGTCTAATGCGGTTGATTCTGACCATAATTTGGACTTTTCTAGAATAACGATAAACAACGCGATAAGATGCACATAAATGACAAATAATAAAACTTGTTATTAAATCCGTTTTCTGATAAATGGTGTGGTCTCTGAAATGGGCAATTTTAATATTTCTGTCGACGCTTCTAAGGAGTGTCCATGAAAAGAATGATTCAATATATATATATATATATATATATATATATCGCTTGTCTATGCTGGATTTTACAACCCCAAAATCTTGAAGGATAATCTTAGTCAATGAAGTGGAAAGTCCTTGGGACAAACTTAATGATACAGTCAACACGCAAGCTTTTTTTTTTTTTTTACATTACGCCCATATATTTTAAATTCTCCTATGAATGCTGGACAACCACCTCAGAGAGGAAAGGGAGACTTGAGGCAACAAAAGGATGCTAAGAATAACATGGACATAGCATGTGAGTAACGAGGAAGTTTTAAGTTACATGGCAACATAAAGGACACACTTAGAATCAGAAAAGTTTAATTTGCTGATTCAACAATATGTCTGTTTAACTATTGATTAACCTCATCCAATTGAATTTAATGTTGTTTCTGTATTTGCCATATTTTTAAATTCTCCTATATGGTCGTGAAGGTTTGACAGTCTTCTCACAGATGATAAAGAGGAGACTTGAGGCAAAAGAGATGTGGTTCTACAGAAGGATACTGAGAATACCATGGACGGAGCATGTGAGCAACGAGGTAAGTTTTAAGGATAGATAAACATAAAGGATATTTATACTTAGAATGGGGAAGGGACTGTTGAAATATTGTGGACATATAATGAGAAAAGAAGGTTTGGCGAACTTGATACCCACAGGATATATTAAAAGCAAGATGCAGGGAAAAGCGCGTATCATACGTAAATAGTCTGTGTAAATGGATGGCAGAACAAAGAATAGGAAGGATAGTAAAATTTAAAAAAAAAACATCGTTAAGAGCTACACAAGATAGAAAGTTGTGGAGAATCATGATTTCTCACGTTTTGAAGAGATATGTTGCATAAGAGAAGAAAAAGAAGATATACTGTTAATCTAGTTATATGTTGAATTCATTATTTTTTAAGGTTATAATGTTGAAATTCTTTGTCGAATTCTGTTAGTGCGATCATGGTTAATCTAAACGTGTTTCGACATGAATATTAGTCATGGCTTTCCTACAATACTAAATAAAATCAGTAATAAATATCTTATTATAACTCTACTTGTTACTCCCTTAGCATGACCGCTGCGCACTACCAATACCTCATAAGTAATGGACTATTCCATTTTGATCGCGTGGAAAGACGGAAAAAGTATACCAGAGACGCTGTTTGGTTTCAGTAAAAGAAAGAAAGAAAGAAAGAAAGACAGAAGTGGGGATAGATGTGTTTAACATCTACTGTCAGTATCTCATATATTAACGTTTTGATCGCGTGGAAAGACAGAAAATATATATCAGAGGCTACTTGGTTTCAGTGAGTAAATGAAAGAAAGAAAGAAAGATGATAGAAGGTTTTAACGTCTGTTTCATTGAAATTTATAAAGTTTCAAATCTTTCCATTTGTACCAACTTCGTAAAATAATGACCAGCATTCATATTTATGATTGTTATCGCAATATTTTGTTAAAGTTGTTAAGCTGTTTAACAATGCAGAATTTCTATATTTTATTGCCGTAGAACTTGTTCTTCAACCATTAACTGAAGAAATAAGATTCATCAGAACATTTGAAAGGTCTCTATATATATATATATATATATATATATATATATATATATATATATATATATATATATATATATATATATATATATATATATATATATATATATATATAGCCTCTCATGTTTGCAATTTTAATATTGCCAGTTTTTCTCACATTCATTTTTCAACGCTAAGGGAAGTGTCTTTGTTTATGACAGGCATGGGCAACCTTTTCTGGCCAGTGGGTAGCATCAGATATGGCTCATCATACGGTGGGCCACACTACTAAAAAGATTGAAGGTAATTTTTCGTTGAAGCTGTCTCAGCCATTTTCATCACAGAAGACCATACGCGTAAGCATCTGTCATAGAAATGGTGAAAGATTTCTCAATAATTAAAAAAATGAAGTCCCGATATAATTTTATCACAGATGACAGTGGTTAGCACACACTGTTACATGTGCTTTGTTACTTATTTATTCATTTGAAAATACAACAAATAATTTCCAAATTAAAAAGATATATTTCTTCTCTAGATAAAAAATTGTTTCTTCTCCAGAAAATATATTGCTTCTCCACATAAAAATTATTATGAACGTCCTGTTTCTAAAGCAAATTATATTTACTCGCATAGTCTTCCTTAGTGAAAATCACCAATCGTTTAAAATGATGAAAACGTTACCGTCAACGAAGTTACAAAATTCAAGAAAAATTGTGCTTAATCATTGTTTATGTATGTGATTATGCGTGAGAAAATGTGAGTGAACAAGTGAGGACGAAACGAAATACAGAAACTTTTAATAAAGCTTATTTTCCTCATGGAATTCGGCGTGCCATTCAGGACGCGAAACGGGCCACATGTGGCTCGCGTGCCGCACTTTGCCCATGACTGATTTATGACAACAGAGGACTATTCCAAGAGGATTATGAAGAAGAAAGATGAAAAAAGAGCAGAGCACAGCAATAATAACTGGAAAAATATATTTAATACTCACATGCTAAAGCTTTATTCTTCTTTTATGTGCCATTTCCCTTCAACATAGGAAGGATCATGGTTCTCCACGACCTCCTATCCATTGTAGCTCTTAGTAACATTTGCATTTTTACCCATCACGATTCCGCCATCCATTTGCTAGTCAGGTTGATGGCCCACTACCTCTCCCTATCCCTTTTGCCTTCGATATGCCCAGTGAGTGTCAAATTCTCTAAGCCCTTCTTCCTCATTGTGTCAAAGAAATTTCAATTGTCTCTTGAGTACAAGAGTAATTTATGTTTTTTTTTATTTTCTTACGTGCTCCGTGCTTCATATTCTCAGCATCCTTCTGTAGAGCCATGTTTCTCTTGCCTCCAGTTTTCTTTTCATTTGTGAAACAAAAAAATAAACAAAATCTGGTAATGAATAAAGTCATTAGGGGAAAAGACTCAACTCAATGCTAAATAATAAGGATCAATAAATCCGTAGCCTGACACGTAGCTATTAACTGAATTCTGATCTGCAAATTTCACTGTATAAAATATAATGATTGATTTTTTTTATGGCTTATCAACCTTTTGCAGGTTACTTAAATCCAGAAAATATTTTTAGATTGTAAGAATTTTTTGGTATCTGTCTATATTTCTGAGATGAGGTATTATGTTACACTATTTAGTTCTAGTACTACGTGCCATGTTTAATGGATGTCAATTATCCACTATGGATGCCTTTATTCACTGTGCCATGTGTCCTCAAGGCGTTGGTTAAATCCAGTGACAGGACCCAAAGAGTGTGAGTTCAATACCCGGTTAAGGCAGTGGAGAACTTGGAGAGGGGAATTAACAGGAGATAACTGATAACTGACATCCATTAAACATGGCACGTGAAACTAGAACAGTCTACCCCAGTGAGCGAAATAAAGGGTTCAATTCGACATTCCAACCACCTGAAGAAGGCCGGAGCCTTACAACGGCCGAAACGTTGTAATAAATATGACGGCAAATATGAGGACAATAGTCCGAATAATGTAAAGAATTTTTTGGTAGATGATAACGATTTGCAGATAGACATTCTACTAATTAACTCCTAGCTGGGAGGGAGAAGAAATAGATACACCACTCGCACATCCAATTTTACAGAACCTCGTATTCTCAAGCGGCCGTCCATCTAGGTAATGACCAAGTTCAACGTTGCTTAACTTCATTGATCATTACGAGAACCAGTGTTTCAAGGTGAAATGGCTGTAAGCCCAAGATATGTTGAAAACCATGTACAGGGTGAGGCAAAATTCGCGCGCCCCAGGGATAATTTATTAAACGTATAATTACACATTTAATTGTTATATGTTTCCGTTCAAAATGTCCTCCTTCTTTTTCCAAAACATATTTCAATTCTATGCCTTCATAATTCATTAACACATCGCAGAGTTTCCTTTGTCATTTTACTGCGTTCATATTTAATTCCTTCTTTAAACTCCTCAATATTTCTTGGGCGCGTCTGATAAACAGCTGATTTCAAATGGCCCCACAAAAAAAAAAAAAACAATCAATTTCTGGTGACCTCGGTTGCTGCTCAGAAGGAACTATCAAAACAAATTCAACATTTAAAATGATGAATTAAACCTTATGGTGAACGACTTTTGCCTCACCCTATACAATTGAATTAAGCACGTTGACAAAAAAGTATATTATATTGAAAAATAAATATTTGATGTGTAAAATCAATGCTATCTTCAGCATTAAGCTAAAGACTTATTGATAAAGCTGCATAAATCAAATGGATTATTCCATAAATAAAATCGATACTTAATGAAGAAAAGTCGATATGAAATAAATCGATAAATAAAGTTAACGGTAAATAAATAAAATTCGATACAAGTTAATTAAATAAATAAAATCGATATCCTAGGGACTCATTACTATTTTCGGCTTACGGCCGTATCACATTAAAACCACGGTTCCCGTACGATCTCTGAAGTTAAGCAACGTCGAGCTTGGTCAGTTCTTAGATAGGTAACCGTTTGCAAATACCAGGTGCTGTAAGCTTGTTATGTGCGAGTGATGTAATGGCTAATGACCCGAAATTGTTAATCGGAGAGCAGAGTTCCAATTCCAGTTGGGTTCGTTATATTTAGTTACGAGCAAATACCCGGGTGAAAACTATGAATCCACCTTTTTCCTCCCAGCTATGGGTTAATTAGTAAGATCTGTATCACTGAATCATTATTATTTAAAAATAAAAAAATCTTGCACTCTAAAAAAGAAAAAAAAAAAGAAGCTGGCTTTAAATAATCTATAAAATGTTGACAAGACGTAGGAAATGAATCAATCAATAAATCATTACTGTTTGTAAGAATAAAAAAGACGTGCTGATTGTGTGGAAAGAAAATCAGGAAAGAAAATAAAATGTTTTCTTTATATTTTGTTTGTGTTCTTCCGCGAATAATTATGTGTAAATTCTAACTGCTAATACTCTTATAGAAGCTAGCCTACTACCAATTTCTGGTGGATCCCCTTAGAGATCAACTGACAGAAAATCCCTCAATACACCTTCCATGTAAACAGAAACAGACTATCATCATTGTTTTTTTTCCGTGTTTTGCTTAATATACTGTAATGTAATTGTCAGCTTTGATAATGGGTTATGTAAGCTATTAAGCTTATCAGACGATATGAACAAAAGACGCCATGCTGAAGATAGCATTGATTTTACACATCAAATATTTATTTTTCAACATAATATACTTTTTTTGTCAACGTGCTTAATTCAATTGTATAGGGTGAGACAAAAGTCGTTCACCATAAGGGTTAATTCATCATGTTTTAAATGTTGAATTTGTTTTCATAGTTCCTTCTGAGCAGCAACCGAGGTCACCAGAACTTCAATGAATCTTCTAGCCACACGTTTCTGATGAGGTCTTTTTTCTGAGGGTCAATTTTAAGCAGTTCTCTCAATGAACCATCGCCTTCCACGTTGATAAGAGTCATTGTAAACTCAGCAATCTTGTCGATGTTATCATACTATGAGCTACCTCAGGACTGCATACGGTTTTGAATTCAGATTTGTCCTTCTCCTAGACTGATTGACAAACACGGCTAGAAAGCTTAATCTGTCCTGTTATTTAACCCATAATACACACACACACGCGCGCGCGCATATAAATAATATTTATGTTGGTCACACCACAAACTCGCTTTCACGACGCTTGACACTACATTTGAATGATAACTCTAAAATTTTTAGGCATTTAAAACAACATGCCTGGCCGCATACACAATTCCGGAAAATCCTTGTTGAAAACACAACTATACTTAAACATGAAAGCAATAAACAAAAACTAAAAATTCTTGAAGCTATATACATAAAACAGTTGAAACCTAACCTGAACAAAATAAACTATGAAATCTCCACAAATATTTTTACAAAGCCTATAATTGGTTACCGAAGCCATTGGTTTATACCAACGGCTTCCCATAATTAATACTTCTTGTTTTCACTCTCACGTGGTCTTGTGTGACGTTATGAGCTGCGGTGCGATTTTCGCTCCCAGCGTCTTGTATGCACGAGTTTGTCGTTTCTTGGAAATCTTCCATGTAAACAGAAACAGACTATCATCATTGTTTTTTTCCGTGTTTTGCTTAATATACTGTAATGTAATTGTCAGCTTTGATAATGGGTTATGTAAGCCGACAGTTTAAATTAAAAAAAAAAAAAGATTAAAAAATATGTATCAATATTGTGATTTTCTTTCTTCGTTTAATGATGCTATTAAGCTTATCATACGATATGAAAAGAAGGTACATACAAATAAACAACACTTGTCTATATTATTTAATGAAACATGCATCAATATATACACACACACACACACACATATATATATATATATATATATATATATGTGTGTGTGTGTGTGTGTGTGTGTCTCTCTCTCTCTCTCTCTCTCTCTCTCTGTGTATATGTATATGTCTGGGTATATCTTAAGAGAAATTAGAACCCGTTCACTGACTCTGTTATTTACCAAGTATGGGCGCGGATTGAATTTATTACTAATAATTAATCTACTAATCCATATTGATGACGAGTATCCGATTTCGTCATGATTACAACTGCGAGATTATTCATGGATGATCCATTATTGCGTTCCTTGCTTTTATTAGTGGATTATTAACCAATCATATTTTCGTAAATTATTCCCCCATATTGTATCCCCCACCCCGGAAGTTGGCTTTATAGACTTTACGAGGGATTGCCTTTTATCGTTGATGCTGGTTGGCTTTATTTCCAGAAAATGTTCTGATCTAGCTGTAACTAGTTCCATTAAAGGTAGGGATTTTTGTTCGTAGTTGAAGTTGAGTAAGCATTGTGAGTTTACGTGACTTTTTAATTCCACATTTTTCTTTTTCTCAATCCAATACGTCTTTATAAGACTACATCTCTCGGTGTTTGACTAATTGTGTCTCCATCTGAATTTCGGTTAACCTGCTGTTCTTTGGCCCGGAATATTTCTCTTGAGAAATAATTTTCAGTCATATTTCTTTAACCGGTAAATGTCCGTAATGTTATAACGATTTTCTCTTAATTGTCTTAAGGGATGCATTGCCATTTTATGGTGTTATTTTCTTTTTGTTTCTCCAGTTGTAGCCAGTAATTAAACGTCTGTCGTTTTAGAAGACCTCCCCTTCTTAGTTTCTTTCCGGATAACGCTTACCGGTCCATTCATAATTGGAAGAACGTTACTTCATATGTTTAAATGGACTTATGAACGCTTTTTTTTCTTTTAAAAAAAAAAATAAAAACTCTTAAAAGGTTAAAAACTAGACACCTGAAAATTAATTTGACAAAGTTTGACTCTAGTTGGCTACAGTGAACGCCCTTCACATAAAGGAGAGGCTTTGAGTTGACTTACCATTGTTTAAAAAAAAACAAAAAAAAAACTCTGAAACGGAACCGTGTCACATTGTGTTGTCAAACAAAAGACGCCATCTAATTACAAACTGGGCAAATTGTAAGCTGATAACTTCCATTTTTCATATTGATAAAAATCTTTAGAACACTATATTTTAGTTACTGTCACCGACTTCGTTAGAAACGAAACAAAAAGGAAAAACCTGAAGTATTTTAAATGTCTTCTTTGAAGTTAAATTTCGTTTTATTTGAAAGATAATAGCCTAAAGTTAATCTGTATTTAAAGAAAGATAAATTTCAATTTTGTAAAAGTTTTTTTTTTGTCTTTTTTTTTGTCTGTTTTTTTTTATTAATCTAGGCACGTTCACTCGTCACTAATTGAACTGCCATCAAAGACGAAGAAATATGAACAATAGATTTGCAGATTTGTCATACAGATGATTCAAAGTCAATTAGTATGTTTAAGGATTAACTGGGTTTTGCAAACATAACGCTTACTTTTTGCTTAAAACATAAAATAAATTTACAGTAGTAAATGAGTTAAGGACTAATTCTGGCCAATAATTCCGGACTTAAAAAAAAAAAAACACGCCGAAAATGAAAAGAATGAAAAAAATTTTCTGTTTAAAGATAACCAATATTTTAATATTCTTTTCTATACGCTTTTATGTGACTTAATACATCGACTATTTCTATTTTTATATTACAAGGTGGTCCGAAAGTCTTGTCAACTACCTTCCAAAATGTAATAAGAATAGACGAACCAGTAATACAAAGCACATGTACTGAATTCAGTTTATTCACTTTCATTGACGCAGTCTCACATCGAGAAGTTCTGTATAGACGCCATTATTTTCGTGTCAGCCATCTGAAATAGAAAACTACATGCCGTGGTGACAAGACTTTCGGACCACCCTCTTTATTAGAAGTATTAAAAAAAAAATTAAAAATTAGTGAAATGAAACTGAAATTCAATTTATTGCTTTTATCTTACCTGTTTGATGTCTTAAAATATTTAATTGCACCTAATGAGATCTTCTAATTATTCTGAATTTAAACGCTATTGAATTTTCATTTTTCTTCTAAGGAAGAGTAGTCGGGGAAAGGTGATAATTCGGAATTATTTTCTTGAATATCCATGCTGACAGGAAAAAAAGAACTTAAAATGTGCTAAAATGGAAAAAAAAAAAAAATTCACTCGAAAATGACATTAAATTTTGTTGTCGTTTCTTCAAACATGTATTCATTTAATAAAAACAAAACCTTGTCATAAACAGCAACGGGATGGAAACCGCATTGCAAAATTAATATGAAAAGTAAATTTTTTCCCCTGTCCGTTCTGAAAGAAAATGTATTTAAATACTGCTCAGTTACTGCGCGCACTGTGTCCAAGTACACACTGCCCGACCCAGGGACTGAACTCACAATAACTCTATCACCAAATTCACGAACTAACGCTTTAATTCACTTGGCTGTTGTCCCGAACTAGACTAGATACCCATATATATTGGTTGTAAAACCCGGTAATTCTAAAAAATACCAATGCTATTATAGGATTATAAAGGGTGTTCCAATAACTTGGATCGATTTTAAACTTAATTCACATTTTAAAATCGGTCTAAGTTATTGGAACACCCGTTATAATTTAAAAAAAAAAAGGAAAAAGGGTTTTAACTATAATCTATTAATATAATATATATAATATTTTTATATGCCGTGTCCTTTTTGGACGTAGGTGATCATGCCCCTTCCTAAGTTCCTGTCCTATGTGTAGCTTAGATATGGCACAAGATCGAAAGTATGGGGCACTCAGTGAGGATCGAACTCTCTATTCAGTCGTAATTGATCTAGCGAGACAATCTTGCTAACTATTACACCGCGTCGAAGTGCCCAAATTTCCACTGGTATGATTATTCCAGATGGCAGTTGGATTTGGTTAAGATGAAAAGCGCTGCTTCTACATTATTCAATCAGTAGCTTTTTTTTTATTTAGAAAGAAAGAGGATTTTGACATGTAAATATTTTTCATGTATTTTTTTTTCTCTTTACTTCCAGTCTTTCACTACAGCACACATACCGCAGGGAATTCTTAAATAAGTTTTTCATAAGGAAACCTATATTATGACGCTACCGAA